TTTCGAATTATTAAAATACCTTTTCTTTTTCCGAATGATTGTAATTTATTTTTAAACTCATGTTTTGAATCATGCACTATGATATTTTTGACAATGACAGTTTAATTTATCATAGATAAGATATATATTTTGAACAATTATGAACATAACAAATAATTCATAAATAATAAATAGGTACATTTATTTATATATAGATATAAATTGTAATTAATTCTATTTTTAAAAAAAATATCTCCTCGAATGAAATTAATACTTTTACTTAATCATTTTTTTGTTTTTTTTTCAAACTTAATCAGAGTAAAAATAGAAACAAACTAATTTAATCTATCATTTTTTGAAATCTGTTTTTGATATCAAATAAAACATTTAATATTTTCAAGCTTTTATTTAAATAATATTTAAAAACCAGTAATTTAAATTTAAGACAAGTTCAAAGGAGTGAATTTTGAAAACAAACTAAATTAACAAGGTAAAAGTAAAAATATTACTTTTACGCGATGAAGAGCCTAAAAGACTAGTAAAATCATACTTGTATATTAAGTATACTCGAGGCAATGTACGTAAGTTATAAGAGAAAAAAGTACGCTTTTAATTATTGATTTAGGAAGATTTGATTACCAAAAACTAACATAAAAAAATATATCAACTATTAAAACAGCTTATATAACTACGTCAGTGCAACACTCTTAAAAATATTAATTCTTATTGTTTGTAATATTTATCTATACACCATAATTTATAAAGCTTTTTATAATAATATAAACGTACAATAATGTACAACATAAATATTTTTGGTAGGCATGTGCAGGTAATTATAAAAAAAATGTAGTGGATATTATTTATTAGTGAGTATACATTTTATTCTAATATTTTTTTTGTTTTAACATTATGTTAATGTAACATTTTATTACATGTTAGGTAATAACATATTTTGAGATGAATTTAATTTATCTTCCATTGTTTTGTTTTCTTTGCTTACATATTACATGTGAGCCTTTCTAGAAATAAATCTAGAATTAATAAAAAAATATCAATTACCGACTACTTGAATAATCATAACATGTATTATGTATGTATAATGTATTTTATATTATACTAAGTATCATTCCATATTTTATCAGTAAATAAAAGTTTAATTTATTCTTATGATAAGTCTTTGGGGCTGTATAGATACAAACATTATAAACAATATTCAATTTACATTTACATTATTTTATAAACACATATATATTACGAGTATATTATAGTTACTATATATTTATTTGTTACTCGTCCAAATTATTAAAATACCTTTTATGTTTTTGAATGACTATAATTTAATTTTATATAAAATGTAATAAAAAGAATATGGATTAATTTATTTTAAAAAATATATTGTTCAGGGTATTGTAACATATTTTTTAATGCACGTGATTTATGATTGGTCAAATACAAAAACATAAATTTGCTTTTTAGTAATACTAATTTGATGGTACGTTCAAATATTAAAAGTTTATTCGGGTGGTTAAGAACTTGAGATAATAATTGTTGAATTGGAGACATTTCAAACACTTGTTGCAATATTTTTTTTAATTGCACTTGTTTAAAAAAATTTAACATTGTCTTAAATTTGTTGAATGTAACATTTAAATAGGAATGTACCTATGTGTATACTGATCAAAACGCTATTACACATTATTAAATGTCGTAACTCGTGTTCTGTAAACACTTAAAAGGTACTAATATTTGCGAAGTCATTTATTTTAGTTTTGCCAAATAAATAACACAATTTTATCATTCATTTTAAAAGTAAAAAAATCTTTTAAAGTGCTTAATATATCTAATGTGAGTATTGATTGTTTCGAGATGGAACGAATCAAAGTTGATGCTGAACTATTTGATCGTTATTTCAAGCACATTTCATATACATGCCTACAAATGTGAAACGAGCTGATTCGTCTCGGTCCAAAATCATACTATGGAATGTGAAGGGTCTCCACGGCTACTATACATTCCGAGGGGTCGTTTTGGTCGTAGAAAATTGTCAACGTAAGAACATCAACGAGGGACATTAAAAACGATATTATATTTCCATATAATATAATGACGAAAAGGATACAGTGAATGGCGTTTATTAAAATCGTTTTTCATGTTGTATTAATTTATGCCTACCTACAAGACAGCAAAGCAGATACTGACAGAATGCACGCGACCGAATGCTCGCGATTCAGGTTAGCTGGAGTGTCTAAATGCATTATATATCTATATTTTATCCTAAGGTGATCGATTTTTTAATTTGAAAATAAGAAAATGATAATATAAATTGTTTAAATATTATTTTAACCAACATAAATATTAAATTAAAAAAACATTTTTTCTTCTAATTATTATTAATAAATTAGAAATATACCCACCTACTATTTGCGTATTAATTATTGACTAAAATTTCTTATACCTTTTAATTAATTGTTTTTGTGTGAGTAACTATACCTATACTTTTTATGTCTATTTTACATCATATTTTTAGTGTTTGATAAATGGACGATTACGATGTTCAAGAATATTGGAAATATTGAAATACCTATTGATTGTGGCGCAATTAAAGAAAACCTGGACAAAGACAGAGTTATTTTTCGCGAGCCTTATAAATTACAATAGGTATACACGATTAGAGGTGTTACCCTTCCTCCACTAAAATTGAAAATTGTATAAATTTTATTTACCGTCGAATGAGATAACAGCCTATATGTTTTACCTATATCGTAATAACTATATATATTAGTACTATCATAAGTTATAAAAAAAAAAATTGTATAATCAATATTAAACTATAAATTTTCCTTTATTTTGATCAAACGTTGACATTTTGTCAAGCTTTTCAGGTTATTACGTCTGAAACAGAGCAGCTTTTGGCCGACGATCATTTCAGGAAACCGTTAAAATCTTTAAGGAGAACTGCTGGTGCGAAATCGGGGAACCTCCATTTCCGCTTTTCAGACATACTGTAGACAACCATAAGATTTGGGGACCTGGATTGTCGGACCAGGACGCCCAGCCTGCATGGGGTGTTATCGTTGGGCGACGACGACGACGCAGCGCAATACAATGTGCTGCTGACTTCGGTTCAGCGGGCAGTACCCTATCGACGGCCCAAGAGGATATGGTGCTCGGCGGCGACGAATATGGCATGCAGCAGCAGCAGCCACTGCAGGAGTAGGATCAGGATCAGTTATAGAGGAAAATCAGCCCTTGCCAAAGGACCACAATCGCAGGAATTGCTGCCCTCGTTCACTTGTTCGTTTTATCGATATAGGCAATCCAGGGCCGTGTGGTTTAGACCGGAAAGCTTGGGTGCAGACCGAGAGGTGTACCCCGTGTGCCGGACATGGAGATGGTGACTGCAGGAGGAACTTTGGACTTGACGGTGAAACTGGTAAAAGGGTAATGAGCTTGGCAGTAGACGTTCTAAGAAGAGAGACATGAAGTCCATAATTCAGTCCATAATTCATAATTAGGTTGTGAAAACTTCCGGTTATAATCGAATGCTGAAATTATGAAACAAAATTAACAATTTTGATTTTTTTCACGATTCTTCGACATTTTTCTATCTATTATGGTTTATAATAAGTCGTAACATTTTTAGTTCATAATAATGTAAGCTTATAACTTACTTATTTTGATATTCAACATATTTTGTATATATTATTATAATATATTGAAATTTGACAAAATTTCTTGTCACGCTTCTTTGTAGACTGCCACGTACCTTGTTTCTTACCCAATTCAGTTTCACCGTCACTTCCGTTAATTCTTCCTTGATCAGGTCACCATCTCCGGTTCCGACACAAATTTGGGCACACGCGCCTCGATCTGCAATTTGGCTTTCTCGTCCGCTTTTCCTGACTGCTTGCCTAACCACAGAACGAACACTGGTGGGCATTAATTTTAATTACGAAACAATAAATTTAAATAAAATATGCAATTATTATGAACTGGATGATTTAGGTTGGGTTGATTAATGATTAGGAGCAATATTTAAAAAAACTAATCAAGCATGACGAAACTTGTACGTTTTTTCCCGTGTTAAACTCAAATCGCGTGTGCTAATCTTCAACGCTACTTTCAGTCGTTATTGAATGACATACAAAGCGAATCAAAGTTTAATGTGCGATTGAAACCCTCGAGTTTTAAATACATTCGTAATGCGTGTATCTATATTATATGCGATTGTTTGAAATTTGAAAAAGTTTGTCAGTACACATAAGTCACTGCATATTGTTATGTAGGTCTGGTATGTACACCAAAGTATATTATTATGAATAAGCACCCATATTGTACTTGATGATGGTGTTTTAGATTTAGATCAACGAAAACTTGATATGATTTTTTCACCTGAAATAGACAACGGTCGTTTGAAGAACGAATCGGCCGCCAAAAAGGGAATAGTGCCTGCCGATTTAACGGGAATGCGTTATGCCCATATACAGGACATTATGTTATTATAGGGTTTGAGGTCGCGCCGGACGCCACACACGTCTGCTGACGTCTGACAAAATGCATCCTTGCAATCCTCGTGATATATATATATACCTGAGGTATGTGTGTAAAACACATAAAATGTAGTCAGCAGAACGTGCCGAAAAACCGGAAAACGGTTTACGCATAGTGTGTGGGTCGCAAAGACATATATATATATATATATATACCTATATTATATATAAATTTATGAATAATATTATGCTCACACACACATTATTATTATTATTACTATTATTATCATTACCGTCATTTGTCGCCGCGGCGGTAAAATTTCGACGGGAATCGGACGTTTCGACGATGACTTCATTATGTCGGCGTGGCCGAAGGGGTGTGATCGCAAAAGGGTTTATTATTATAGGCGGACGCGCGGCGGCGGCGACCACGTTTGGCGGCAAAAACTTCTGGCGGCGGCGGAGCAACAACCCTCGTCGTCGGCGCGCACCCGGTCCACGCCGCGCCGGCCGAGACACGCGACCGTCACATCGTGGCCGTCAGTTCTCGCCTGTTTCGCTAAGGGTGCAGACCTGCTGAATCGTCATGTACACAGGTGCCGGGCATGTGCTCGTCGCGATCGCGATCGCGCTCGTCGTCGTTTCGGCCGTGCCGCCGTCTCGCGGGGAGCTGATCATGGGTAAGACGTTTATAATTTATTATTGTTATCGTTATTATCGTTTTGATTGGGCACTGTAAACAAAAAAGCCGTTTGTATCGCAGTCCAACCGGAGACGGTTTATCGCGTTACGTCGTCGTGTGTCGGATTCGTCAACCGAGAAAATCCCAAAAGCCGTTTTCAATATTTCAATTTATTTTTCACCTTTTAAAGTTGTTATCGTTATCGATACGTAAGCATCGAAAATAATAATAATATTAATAGTAAAATGTGACCAGACACTTAGTGTAGGTAACCAGACGATGAAAATAAATAATAATAAATAGTTTACGTATATTGTAAGCTGAAAATGCCAATACTATATTGACTATAATTATTGCACGATCGCATACAATGATAATATTATTTAAATGACTTGAATAAAATGCCTAATATTCAAGGTTAGGATATAAATAAAAGTTTCGTGTTATCATTTCTTTGAAAAATTATTTGAAATTAGAAATCACGGAGATATTTTAAAAGACAATTACAATTTACTGGTTTTATAATTCCATTATTTATAACATTGTAATCAAAGCTATTATTTTATTTATATAAATGTAGGAAATTATATAATCTGCAACTGATTGTTGTCCAGATCACGAAGTGAGCAAATTCACGAATAGTGTGTAACAAGACGTAAATAGTAGTAAATACTGTGTTTTGGGTTTTAGTGGAAATGTATGGTAAAAATGGATTTGTCGTGGATTACTCGAAAACATTATCATAATAACAACTATTATTAGTACTTTATAGATCTTATAGTTTTTCATCAAGACCAAAGTATACCTACGCGGTTTCGCACAACTATGGGTTTCTTTGATATAATATTATTTTAGTTAATTTTTTAAAAACTGTGCATGTTATATACCAAGTGGTTTCGAAGTAACAAAAAAAGTTCGCATCTCTCAACAATATGTAATAATAGGTTACCCATCGCGCGTTTCGGTAACGTCCATAAATTCTTGTCTAATTTTACGTTACAGTTAAACTGTATTTGTATGAATAATAAGATTAAGTTTATAAGTTTACAATAATTTCTTGAAAATTCTAAAACTAACTTCATACTTTGTTACGATATTGTATAGGTATACAACTATTATTTTCCTGGTGCAAGATGATTGCATTTATAAAGAAAATAAATCTTCAACAAAAAGTGTTTAATATTTAGTAAAGTAGAAATTATTCATTGTTTCCTTGTCTTGCTCTAAGACTCAAATAACGTTTTAATTATACTAAGCATTTTTTTTTAGAAATTTTAGAACGTTTTTGAATTTTTATATTGTTATAAAACCACTTACAACACATGAAAAGATTGAGTGATGGAAATATGGTTGAAAAAAACCAAAAAGAGTTTAAACTTTGAAGGGTATTTATTTAACACAAGAAAACATTTCTAAATGGAATTATTTAAAACAAGAATACGGTTTTTATAAACTGCATATTTTAATGAATTGTAAAACCCATTTGATATTTTTTATAACGTAATAGTGTTAGAACAATATATTGTGTTTATAAATGTATTTTATGACCATGCTCTATCGCTTGAAAATTAGTTGTTCACGTCCGCATTTCTAAAATACCTACATCAGTGGTATGCCAACGAGTGGCTTACCCAGATCAGTGGATCTAGTAGTTCTATAGTGTCTACTGTCTACCTTTTTCCTAGTCAGGTAATAAAAATTGTTTTAATTGGAAAACGAAATCATGGTTAATTTTATAATATTAAGAGTATATACTTATGAAATGATATAATGAAAGTGAACCATTTGAAAAATATTGAATGCAATAATGAAATCTCTGTTATTTAAATACCAAATATTTTAAAGTAGGTACTGTATATGAATATATTTCTCTTTTAATTTAACGATTTTCAAAATAAGAATAAATTGTTTTCGTTAGAAAACGGAGAAGTAATTGGTTTTACAACCATGTTTTTTTGTTGGTTTTTTTTTTAGGAAGTAGCAAATGTGCTCAATATTATTTTCTTTCGAAATCGGAATGTAAACCGTACTGTATACATTATTATTATTTTAAGAAAGCTATAATTATTTTCAATTTTTTTATAAAATCACTAAACACCGCTAACATTGTATGAAGTATCCCTGTACAGTACCTTTATAATATACATCGGTAAATATTAAACGCATGCTGTGTTATACGCTGCAAAAACACACACATGAATAATCTGTAGGTGTGCGTCTTTCTGTATTATTACACACTATACTATACGACTTATGTGATATTGTGATAAATTGTTTTTAATTATGATTTATGTTAAGATATAAGAAATAATATAATTTGTTTTTAATTTGCTTCTTTTCTATTAACTTTTTTTTAATTATGGGGCAGCGTAAAATCAAATACTACATAGGTATGATGAAATATAGTATGGGTATTCAAATTAATACTGTTTAGACGTTTAATTATATATTCTGTAGTTGTACTTTATTTTGAGACCGTTGGAGACATATTTTGTAGAATAAAATGAAAACTTGAGTTTGCTACATTGAACAATATACATTTTTTTTTAAATTTTCGTGGAATTGTGTCGGTATGTATAAGGTCAATATGTTGGATTTAGAGTCGTTGGCGCACGCAGGAGATTTTCTCGGTGAGGGTTGCAGTAGAAATATGATTCCCCTATTTAGTTTTTTCATGCATATTTTTATTACTTGTCCACCTTTTATAATATATTACTTTGTAAAGTCAGCTGTTGGTTAATATTATGGAAATTTTTCATTCGTCAACTACCTTACGCAAAAAATTAAATACATTTTGAACAGTTATAATAAAACGGCTCAAAACTTGATAATAAAAGAAGCACATAAAATTCACTTAACAATTAATTTTGAATTTATTATATTTACATAAATACAAAAACAGTGAAAGTCACTCTGCTGTATGGTAGGTTTTGAGTGTACCTACACTGTCATTGAGTGGTGAATTCCAAGAAAATGATCCGAATTGCATATGAAAAATGATTCCAGGAGACTACAATTTATTTATATTACTATAAGTAAATTATTTTTCATTTAGTGATATGGCCTGCAGAACTAATTTTTGCCAAAAACATGGGATAAATTGTATAATATTTATTTTATTATACTATAATGTGTACCTATAGGTACCTATATTGTTATCAACTTATAACTTCCGTGCATTAGAATGGTGTGAATAGAGGTGTATGGTATAAATACGTAGCTTACAATTAATATAATGTTTGGAATATTTCATTGTGTATCAAAAATAATAATTTTAGTAAATGTGAAAAGTTTCAAATCCCTGCATTTAATATGTATTGCATTACAACAAAATACCTGAATTCATTATTTTTGTTAAATATCTAATTTTATCAAATAATGAACTTGAGGGTTTATAAAAAAAAAAATATTAGTTGAAATTTTAAATAAATGTAAGAACTATTTATGAAAAACCTTGCATTCAATTTTTAAGTCTTAGCTGTTCAAATTGTAATTTAAATTAATTTTTAACTAAAGAATAGTTTTCCAATTGTTATGAAGAATTCTGAGTATTACAAAAATTTAAACTTCATGCTTTATAAAAAAAATGTCTAGATTATATCGATATTTACAATTGCTGTAATAACAAATTATGAGTTACGTTGTATTATAAGTTTGACCTATTATTGATTAATAAAGAGAAATTATATTAATATATTATAATATCAAAAAGTTAAAATACAAAGAGGTAATACAAAAATATTTTTGAAAATAATACTATAAGCTTTAATTAAAAGCTTATATTAATAAAATGAAAATTTCGAGTATCAAAGCTCTTCATTTTTGAATTACAAAAAAAACAAAAACAAAATGAAGATTTTGTAAAAAACTGATGTTGAGTAAATATTCCCGTCCCAATATCATTTGAATACTAATACGTAATTACATAATTCATCTCTCACTCTCAGAATCTAAAATATGAGGTAAAGAATAGTAATGTCATAGATTTGGTCACTGAATCGAAGACAATTATTAGTATTTAGTAGATATTCATTTTTGAGATTTTCGAAAAATTGAATTACCGTGAGTAAACGGAAAACTGGTCAGTGAAAGATTTTGGTTTTGATTACCACTGCTTGCTGGGAAGTTTATTTACCACTATTTATGTGTATTAAGCACTTTTTAATGATCTAAGCCCTAAGGTATAGGTACTTAAAATATTTACCGTTTCATCTTAGAATTTAATGAATATGATGAAGTTTTTAAATATTTTGATGTAGGTACAATCGTACAGAACTTGAAAATTAAATGTTTTTACAGATATCATTTACGATTTAATTTTTTTATTCATACTTTATTTTGTTGGTAAATCTCGTATATGCGTCATATAAAACACACCTTTTATTGATGTATTTCATTTTGAATTAGAATAATTGCTTTCAAAAATCACTTACTTCATTAGTGATTTATTCAAAATCAATTATTGTCATCAAAAGTTCAAAATAATAAACAAATATATATATTTTTTATACTATGAAATGTAAACAATTTTTTTAATACTCAATTTTCAAGACTAGATAATAAGCTCAAACAGTTAAAAATGGATATCTATTGCGTTATTTCAATTATATCATATAGATACATTTGTATAAATTAAATTAATACAAGTTTAATGACTTTAATTTAAATTTCTATGCTTGTGTGTTAAATATTTTTAGACCAATAATAATTTTACTGGACTAGTTTTGTATTAACAATACATTTGATATTTTATTATTATAATTATAAATAAAGGTAACAGATTACCTTAATTGGAAAAATTTTTCAGCATATCAATACAGTGTATGTATTATTATATACATTTGTACGTATATTTAAATAATAAAAAAAAAATTCTGTCAAAACCTTTGGCTGTAGTAGAAATGTTGGCGATGTTAAAATAAATAAATAAATTAATCGATAATATTAGGTAGCGGTTTTTCTAAATTTTCTTAAAAATGCGATCACAACCTTTTTGGT